TTCTACAAATATCGTGTGAACAGTGAAAACTAAGGTAGTAATTATGAGTGATAAGATCATCAGCCCTGAGATGACAACTGATGATCGTGTCTACTGAAAAAGAAAGTGTGTATAGAGGCAGGAACGTAAATACAGCTTGAAGCACACACACACATTCTACATTCTAGCACTGGAGCTAACTCCTCCAGTAAGAGCAGACAGGAAACTTAGGTTGTCAGGAAAGTCATGCCATATTTTTCTGTGTTTTTGTATGCAAAAATGCATTATGACTTTCTAGATGATCCAGTTAAAGCAAAACAAACAAAAATGATCAAATATTCCTGCATATTATAAAAGGTTTAGTTAAATTTCATTCTCTAAATCCCTGGGGCAGTGTGGTAGGCCCTGATTTTGTTCCATAGATGTGCTGTCTTCATTCTGAAAAACCAAACACAATCTGACTGTTATTAACATCTGTTGCTGACCACACGCAAAATGAATTTCTTTTTTTTTTGGAGAGGTTTTCGCTATAGTGTGTGTGCGCTAGACAGACAGAGAGAGACATAGAGACAGAAAGCGAGAAATCACCCCCCAGGGGGGATGGTCACGCCGCAATCCTATTTTAGCTCCCTTCAGTTCTTTATTAAATTCTCTACCACCACTCTCAAATTTGTTAGCTACAAAAGCAAGTTGTTTTATAGTGAAACATTCCTAGATGTGAACTTTTCAAAGTTGATAAATTCCCCAACTGTCTCCTATTGCGAGGTCTCTGAATTTGGTATGTGACAGGCTTGGGAGATAGAGTAGAAAGCTTTAAAATCTCATGTAATCTTATGAGTGTATGTACATTTTCACGAGACATGTCCACAAGTATTTTTGTTACCAGATTTTCAGAGGAATCTGGCTCCTGAAGGATTAAGAACTACAGTTTAATTGCTGCTAACAAGCAACTTTTGTAAACAAAATTTCCCTTTTATAGCAGCATTTTAAGATATTACCAGAATTAAAATATTTCTAACTGTAAGGACCTTCAAATTTAATTAGATAATTTTTATTGTGATAATTGTTTTAGAAAAGAGAGGAAAAAGATGTTTGGTTACCTAAAATTAAAGTAACTTCTAATGTATGTGTTTGTTATTTTGGAGTGGAATCTTTCTTGTTACTAAATTACAAGCTTCATTAACTTATTTGAAGTGCTGCATGCAATTGGGTTAATATTATTGATGATGTTTTATGTGAATACAAGAAATTACTGTGCGCCAGTAGGGGCCGAGACTTGAACCTAGTCAACTATGTGGGAGTTCAGCAATGTACCCATTATGCCATCTGCTGGCTCTGTTGTAATCTTTTCTGTTTAGCCATTGGTCCTATTAATGAAAGAAAAACCAATTGGCAAAGTTCTACTGTGGCAATACCTAGGAAATGAAGCTTTTTTTTTCTTCAGAGGAAGAGGAATCTCTTTTAGACCACTATCTTGCCATTTTCTTCTTGTGTTTGTTTGTGTTTTTTTGCTATGTAATTAGTGGAAACTTAGCCAGTGTAGGATATCCTTATGTTCAGTGGTCTTGTGAGTCAGAAGATCTGAATGCTGGTCTCAGCTTATGATCTTTTTTTTTTTTAATAGGACACTTGCACTTGCTAGAGGTAGGAAGGGAGGGGAAGAGAAAGAAATAGAAAGAAATCACCTTCCAGGGGTAGACGACCACACCACAGTCCCTTCTCCTGCAGTCTCCTCTCGCACAGGTGCCTGGCGTGTTTGTCACGTTCCTGGGTCCAGGACTTGAACGCAGTGGGGCATGTGGAATCCAGCCGCCTTTACCTCCATGCCTTCTGCAGGCCTCAGACCTTGTAGATTCTTACTTAATTCTTCCATACTACAACTTTTTTTACTGTAAAACGAAGGGATCAGGGTAAATCATCTCTAAGGACACTTCTAGCTCTTAAACATAATTCTAGAAGGGCCAGCAGGTGGCGTGGTAGTTAAAGGCACTGAATTCCCACTTGGCCGACCTCGGTTCGAGCCTCGGACCTGCTGACTTGCTTTCTCGCCTTCCTTCTCTCTCTCTCTCTCTGGTCAAATTGAAAAATAATAATAGCAAATAGAATTAAATAGATAAGGAAATAATTCTTGAAATAATTCTAGGGTTGCTGTCAATGAATGCAAGTTGTCTGCTTTTGCTGCATCTTTGATGGGGTGTGCTTTTTTTAAAAAAAAATCTTCTATTTAACTTTATTTATTTATTTATTTATTTTAATGTGACCAGAGAGGAACAGAAAGAGAGAGAGAGAGAGAGAAAGAGAGAGAGAAAGCAAGCCACCAGGTACAGGACTTGAACCATGGTCAGCTATGTGGGAGTCCAGTGCTCTTCAGGACCTGCTGGTCCCAGGCAAGTGCCTTTTAAAATGAGCTTTTAAAAAGTGTTCTTGTGTGGTAGGTAGAATGAGAAGAAAAGACAGACTAATAGGAAGATTAGACATTAAGGCATTATGTCACCCTCGTACCCCACATAATACTGGGAGGAGCATGTAGAATTAATTCGTCTCTATAGTAACAAGCTTTGTATGTATTTACTTATTTATTTAGGAGGTGTTTGCCTTAAGGTTGTGTGATTGCCAGAGAGAGACAGAAACAGAGATAGGGAGGGGAAAGTGAGAAATCACCCCCTTGGGGGGGGGATGTCCGTGCCACACTCCTCTGTCCTCCATTCTCCTCCTGGGGTCTTGGGCACGCACACACACGTACCTGGTGTGATTTTCAAGCCACTGATCCGGGACTTGAATCATGGTCAGCCACATTGGAGAGTCCAGTGACATTACCGGTGTGCCACCTGCTGGCCCAGTACCAAGCTTTTTAAAGCAATCAAGCTAACTATCCTAGAACTAGTTGCTGTGCCCACCCTGCTGGCTAACACATATGCTCCCCAAACTTGTGTGGTATCCCCTGGTAAATAGGAGAAATTTGCTTCGCTTCTTGCAGATTACACTGTGCGTTTTGCATTTCTTGTAAATCAGTGATGAATTCCTAAAGATCAGAGCACCTACTGAATCATGATGATGCCGAACAGCAGGCCGAGGCGCGGAGCCGATTAAACTCTCAGTGTACGCGGCAGAGGTGTCCACGACAGATGTTAGCCAGGATGATGGCCAAAATAAGACATGAAACTGTAGTGCTTCTGTTAAATGACAGTTTTTAGTTTTAATCGAGTGGTCAGAAAGAGCCACGTCCGTTTGTCACACATGTGTGATGTGCTGGACTGGCAAAGCATGTTGAGGCAGTGATTTCTTTTGGGCAAGATAGTGTTGATTAGCTGCGACCCCAGTGGGCACTTGTGTGTAGATTTTTAGTCAGTGCAGATGACTTTAACACTTCGGACTTTGAAATTCTGGAAGACTGGAAATTCCTTTAGTGGCAGGTGACTAGGTTCCAGGGACTAGCCATTTGGGAGCACATGCCTGAGGTCTTACTGCTCCATTGCTGATGGCTGAATGCAGAAAAGCTTGGAATTGCATTTAATTTACTTCTCTGTGCAGGCTGTCATTGTTCTGTCTTTTTTGGGGGGCGGGCATGATCTGCTGAAGGCATGATTATTAACTTTACTAACTCTAAAATAGGTATGTAATTTCTTCTAAATGGTTTTCCATATTAAAATGTAAAAAATGTTGATTATTATGGAGGAAGTTGCCTGTTTTGTGATCATTTCCTTTTTAGCATGAAGTATTGGTCAACAGGTTGTTTATATATATATATATATATTTGGGTAACTTGAACTAGATCAATATTTAGTTTCTTATTCGTGAGCATATTCTTGATATTTCAAGCTCTTGGGGTTTTAGTATATTGTGTACCTATATTATATAAGTGTCCTCTCCAGTTCAAAAATGACAGGTTAGACTATTTGTCAGAATTCTTAACTAGTCATATTGTAATAAAATTGAAAATGACCAATTGTTGATTCTAAGAGCCAAATATAAAAACTGGGAGAAATGGCATTTGAACATTTCTGCTTTGTTGCCAAAGTAACCCCCACCAATAATACGGTGATTTTTCTAAAAACTGAAATTTCCAACTGGTAGTGAACCTTTTCTTTCTGTTTAGCAAAATAATTAGTAATAATCTTTGACTAGCTCTAAAGAATACATTGTAAAATATTGATAGTGTTATTTCCAAAAAATTGATTATAAAAAAAAAAAACCAACCAGTCAGGATCTCTTTCACTGAGTTATTCTTTTCTAGTAAGGGTGATAAAAGAGAAAAAAAAAAAAAAAAGGAAAGTTTTTACCATGAGGACAGAATTATATCCTGAGTATTTTGAAAGTAATACACTATTTCCTTAAAATATATCTGTGATGGGCCTGCAGGGACATTGGTAATTAAGGCGCTGGGCTCCCTCATGGCTGACCATGGTCTGAGTCCCAGACCTGGCGGCTTGAAAATCACAGCAGGCCCATATGCATGTGTGCCCAAAATCCCAGGAGGAGAAGGGATTGTGATGTGGCCATTCCCCACGAGGGGTGATTTCTCACTTTCCCTTTCTCTATCTCTCTCCAGTGAATGCACACACCCAATGGAAAACAAAACAATATCAAACCCGTAAGAAGTAGACATTTCTTCCTGACTTGCCTAAATTAATGTTCACAGTGAAACAGAAATGTTATTTTTAATGCTAAACTCAGCTTTTGTTTGTGAAGCATATTTGTGTGTCTTCTTGGCGTATGGAGCTCTCTTAGTCATACATATGTATGCATATATAAAACATACATTTATATATATATATATATGTATATATATATATATATAAAACATCCTGTAAGTGGTCTCCATTCGTACACATGATACAATGAAAGCATTGCCAGGATTGGTTGTTTTCTTTCCAACCCAAGCATGTGGCTGACGCGGACTCAGGTTGAAGCTGCTGTGTCCAGGGGTGCCTGCTCTGAGAGGTGTGGGGGGGCTGTTAACAGACTGGTCTTCACGCCTTCATTCAGCGATTAACTCTCCATGTACTCTCTCCTTTCCCCAGGAAGATTCGGAAAGGGCCAGGTATTCCCACCGGTCCAGTCATCACCGTCCTTCTCTGGTTCGTAAGAACTTAAAACTTGTCCCTGATACCTTTCCTCACTAACTTAATATAGTCGCTCACAAACTTTTACTCTGTTTGTTTCTGTTTTTATCAGGGAGTAGAGGATGCACTGTCCACTCGAAGTCTTGGGAGTCACAGGGTTGGTATTTTAAATTGTTTACACCACAATAGCAAAGCTTACCTGTATGATCTGTCTCAGATCATTGCCTGAACAATCTGACAATGTTGACATACCCTTTGCCTTTAAAAAAATTGCTCAAAAACATCGGCAGTCCTTTCATTGGAAAATGGTGCTTTCTCTCAAATTACTGCGATAAATTAATTCTAAAATTATTTTCTAAAATTAAATCTAAAATAATTATGAAATCATGAATAGTTTTATCTATTAATGTATGCATCTATCTCTGCAGTCAACCTTTGATTTTGGAAAAGTATCATAAAATAAGATTGATTTTATAGAATAATATCTGCTTAGTTCTATCTTCTAGCTTTTTCCTACTCTTTAATCTTAAAAAAATGGCAATTAAGTGGGAAATAGCTCTGGAGCTTGGGCAACAAATTATCATTTTATTACATGGAACAGTTGAGCTATTGATTTGAAAAATTCCCTGCTTGGCATATGTACAGGAATGATCACCTTTCAACTTTTTTGTTTGTTTTGTCAGAAGGCCCGAGTGCTCACCAGAGAGACAGAGACAGAGACAGAGGCAGAGGAGAAAGCACCCTCTCTCTCCCCTGCAGTGGGCAGTGGTCATGCCGCAATCTCTTCTTCATCTCTCCCTCCTTGTGGAATTTCAGCATGCTTGCACATGCATCTGGAGTGTTTCTCAAGCCTCCAGGTCTGGGACTTGAACCTCGTGGTCAGCCATGTGCGATCCTGCTGCCTTACCCTTCAGGCCATGGAGCTGGCCCCATGCCTCACCATTTTGATGAACATTTCATAGATTGCCCCACGTTTTTAGCAGACTGTTGTCAGAATAGATGAGAAGTTGCTCCTTAAAGGCTTGCATATTGTATTGAGACCCTGATCTCTCTTTTCTTAAAGAATTGTGCTTTAAACCTTAAAGTAATGCCTTTTTTTTTTTTTTTTAAATAAATGAGAGAATGTGGTAGGGAGAGGAGAAGGGCGGAGAGAGCTAGAACAATGGAAAGGCAGAGGGAGGGAGAGGCATTTTTGACAGGGTTCTGCCACGTCCTGATCCTTCCTGCCCTGTCCTCTTAGTAGCTAGAACTACAGACAGGCGCGTGGCCTGCCACATAGCCCTGGCCACGTGCAGCTGTCCCCTCCTGCCTGTGCCACGACCACAGTGCTTTCAGTCTGCACATCGATAATGCCGTCTCTATACTCATATCTTAATTTCTCATCGGTAAAGTGGTATTTTATGTAAAGATCTATGTTCATTTTCCCAAACTCTAATTTCTTTCCCACCTTGTGTAATGTATAAAAATACACTGTGATATTCACTGAGTGCAGTGGCATGTGTCTGCTCCTCAGCTGCTCAGAGGCCAAGGAAGGAGAATCCTGAGTTCAAAGCTAGCCTGGCAACCTAGCAAGATCCTGTCTGAAAAAACAATACCACAGGGACCAGCAGTTAAGGTAATGGCTATGTCGCTGGACTCCCATGTAGTCAACCACGGTTTGCGTCCCAAATCCGGTGGCTTAAAACTCATGCCAGGCACATGTGCGTGCATGCCCAAGATCCTGAGAGAATGGAGGAGAAGGGATTGCAGCGTGGCCATCCCCCGGGGGAGTGATTTCTCACTTTCTGTCTCTCTCTGTCTGTCTGGCAAGCGCACATGCCCTATAGCAAAAACTTCTCCAAAAAAACCCAATACCTCATAAACAAACAAAAACTATAGTAAACTGTGTGTTGACATGTTTGTTTTCATAAATAGTCCATAGTGTGGTTATTTTTCTTATTGCTAAAGTTAATCTGCTATCTTTTTAAAGTACATCAGTTTTTGAATCAAAATTTTGGTTAATAACAAAACCTTAGATCTTTAAGAATATTAACAAATCTTTACAGAAATCTAAACTCAGCGGCCAAAAATGATTTTACAGGAGAAAAACATTGCTATGATACCTTTGTCATCCTTCTGTTGGAGGTATTTTTATTTTTTCCTCTTTAAATACTTTGAAGAGAGGGACCAGCAGATGGCATAATGGTTAAGTTGCTGCACTCCCTCATGGCCTACTTCGGTTTGAGTCTTAGACCTAGTGGCTTGAAACTCACACCAGGTGCATGTGCGTGCGTTCTCAAAACCTTGAGAGGAGAATGGATGAGAAGGGATTGTGGCATGGCCATCCCCCCTGGGAGGTGCTTTTTCACGTCCTCTGTTTCCAGTGAGTGCACATGGCCCTATAATAAAAAATAAAAAGTGAATATATGAACTTAAGAATTAATAAAGTTCTTTTTTTAAGAGAGATTTTTGCTAGAGGGTGCATGTGCTTGCCAGAGAGACAGAAAGTGAGAAATCACCCCCTAGGGGGACGGCCACACTGCAGTCCCTTCTCCTCCATTCTCTTAGGATTTAGGGCATGTACGCACATGTCTGGCATGAGTTTCATTCGGTGGGTCCAGGATTTGAACCATGGTCAACTATGTGGAAATCCAGTGATGTAACCAGTAAGCCATTTGCCAAGGGTTAATAAACTTTTAGATCCTATAAGAAATTCTAGTTCTTTACCTATGTGTAAAGTCTAATATATTCTACACATTCGGATTTTCCTGGAAATCTAAACGTTCACTAATAACATTATTTAAAAGAAATATAATAGAGATAAGATTTTTCCTATTTTGTTTTAACCAGATAATATAAGGAGTTCTAAGTTTCATCAGATTATTTGCTTTTTTAAATATGACTGGCGTGATTTTTAAGACACTGGGTCTGACTGGAACTCGATCCTGCTAAGTTGGCCTTGTGGCGTCCAGTACCTTAATCACCATACTACCTGGTGGCCCCAGTTTTTGCCATTTTTCAAATGTTTGGAAATAATGGTAACAATTACAGTAATAAAGAGTAAACCATCTTTTATTTCAGATTGTTTAATCCTAGGGTGTTTTGTGCTGTAGAATGCC